CCTATTTGAAGAATGAATGAATGGTGTTTGGAGCTCTTTCAAGTAAGCATGGGAGAACAGAAGATGGCAAGAGATGAAGAAAGTGTCTATGGTAAGGACATGTGTACTGCATACTTGCTTCCAGGTATGAGCCCTGGATAATAATGGAAATGGGCAAACTCAGGACTGAGCAGGTAACCCCAAACAGGTCTCTGAGGTGTCTCGGGTAAAACAACAAGAGCCCTAAGATGTGCATATTAGTTGGGTCCCTGCCTCTGTCAAGCTGGGAGAATATGAACTTCCTTGACTAGCCTGGACCTCCATTCCCCAAGTGTAAAATGAGGATAATAAGCTACTGTGATCTCCACAGAAGAGGGTGTAGAGGGTATTAGATCATGCACTAGAGGGGGGTGATACACCAGGGAGAATGTTAGAGAGCATGGTAGGTAAAACAGGAGTTTTATAGCATGCAGCAGGATTACGAGGGAGGGGAGGCAGGAGGAGGGAGAGAGGGAGAGAAGGAAGAAAGAGGTGATTTCATTCAATCCTCTCAACAGCCCCAGGAGAAACAACTCTACTATTATTCCTATTTTTGCACAAAGGTTTAACACTTGATTGGCAACTTCCAAGATGGCATACCTGGCCCATGAAAGAGCAGTGAATCAAACCCAGTGTGTCTGGGACCCCAGACAGCCCTTCACCCCCAGGCCTACTGCCCCTTCCTGCCCATCTTCCATGGCATCTGGGAGAAGTATGACAGAGGCCACTGAAGCCTCAAATAGGGACAGCTCACAGGTTGTGGGGGACCAGGGATAATGGGTGAGGCCATATATGGAATTATGAAGGAGTATCCTCTGGAGCAAAGTTGGAGAACATCTTGCACTCAGGCTGTTTAAGGCCCGCTGAATCATTTGATCTGGCCCTGCCAAGGCAACAGCAGGCAGGACTCAAAATTCAATAAATCTAGGTGCTTTTTTCATAGCAGCATAAATTTATATTAAGTGAATTATATTAACCAAATCCTATCCAATGAAGAGCTAATATGCTAATTAGACTGAACAGCAGAACGACCATCTGGATCTTCCGGATGAAGCTGGGACTGTGAGGGCCAGCTGAGGCAGCCAGGGCTGTGAGGGTAGAGCTCCTTGAATGAATTTCATGCATCAGGCCTCTAGTTATGTTATAAATATGCAAATAGCGCTTGGCAGAAAAACGATTTCCCACCCCTGCTCTAGAGTAAAGCCCACAGGTGTTGAGCATCTACAGATGCATGTGGTGAAACCAGAGATGACAGGAATAGGTGCTGAAGATCCCCTGATGTTCAGAAAGCTCTGACCAATGACCTCAGTAAGGCATTGGTGGGAAAGCAGAGTTGAGACACTGTTGTTCTTGTTCAAAGGTCTCAGGGAATCCAGGTAACCAGGATAAGTTGCTTTAAGTTTTGGAAGCTCACAGATCACTTGTCCTCCAGGTTCGGAAGACACCACACAGGCCCTGCAGAAGTCCCAGCTGAGGCTCATCCTGGTGGGGAAGACAGGGGCTGGGAAGAGCGCCACCGGGAACAGCATCCTGGGCCACGGGTGCTTCCTCTCCAGACTCACAGCCACTTCAGTGATCAGAACCTGTGAGGTGGGGAGTTGCAGGTGGGACAGGTGGCACATGGAAGTCATGGACACCCCAGAGCTTTTTAGCTCCCCAAGACCCAAGACAGACCCGGGGGCCAGGAGCGAGCCCGCTGCTACCTGCTATCAGCGCCTGGGCCCCACGCGCTGCTCCTGGTGACTCAGCTGGGCTGCTTCACTGCACAGGATCAGCAGGCCGTGAGCGCGCTCAAGGTCCTGTTTGGGGACAACGTGGTTGCTCGCACCATCGTGCTGTTCAAGCAAAAGGAGGACCTGGGTGGGAACTCTGCAGGATTTCCTGTGCCATACTGACAACCATGCTCTACCGGCTCTGGTGGCCGAGTGTGGGGGCTGAGTGTGCTTCTTTGACAACAGGGCAGTGGGCAGGGAGCAGGAGGCCCAGGTGCAGGAGCTGGTGGTGCTGGTGGAGTGCCTGCTGCAGGACCATGGGGATGCCCTCTACTCCAACGAAGTGTACCACCTGGCACAGACACTGGCCTTCTCAACCCCTGATGAACAACTGTGGTGGGTGGCAGAGAGGCTGGTGGGCTGCACGTGGGGGCGACAAAGGCAGGAGCTGCTGGGCGCACTGTGGGACTGGGTGATGGCTTGAAAGCTGCACACATCCCCGCTGCTGGGCGTCCTGTTCAAGCCTGGAGACTGCTCTCCAGAGACAGGTTCCAGGCTGTGGAGGAGACCTCTCCCGAGTCACGGAATATATCTAGGTAGGACTTGGACCCATTACCTGACAACCACATTCTTCCCTGGTGTCTGTGCCTCTGAGGCCCACAGGTTTTCCTTGTGTCCCTCACCTGGCAGTAACCTACCAACTCAAAGACAAAAATCCTGCCCACTCCCATCTCCTCTCCCTACCTCCCGCAAAAAACACACACAAAAAACAAACCAGCCCATGGGACCTGGCCTTGCCAGAGTTCTTTCCTGAGCTCTTCTCTTACTGAAGCCTAGACTGTTGACGCTCTTGCCTGTTTTCCACTGACCTCAGGCTGCCGTGGGTGTCCTGAAATCATCCCTGGTCTTCCCAGGGGATCAAAGGTCAGAGCCAACACAAAGCCTCAGTCCAGACCCATTTATTTCAATTGAATATGAATTGTATGAATAAATGCCTTGGACATTCATGTTGTGTTAATGGAAATCAATATTTGTAGATGTTTGTTCATCTGCCTTGTATGCCCATTGAACAAAGACACTGCTCTGTCATTCCTAACCCCTTCTGCAAAAACCACACACCCAAGTGCAGACACACACACACACACACACACACACAAGCACACACTAGGGTGTGTGTCCATAAGAATACAAAGCACTTAAGAACTGTTCATGTCCCAGGAAGGCCATCTTCCTTTGCGTCCCCATTCAGACCCTTCAGCAACTTGAATGCAGAGGCTTCTACAAGTTCAAGGAAAATTGAACTAGAGACTCAAATTCCTAGGAGCCACTGAGGCCACCGAAAAGTCTACTTCCAAAGAGGAGTCTTCTCACTGGCTGACACACTGACAGGGTGAGCATAGGCTTTTCAAGTCACAGGTAAATAAAAAGAAATGGAGAGGTTTGGACATTTTTATTTCAATATCAAAGTAAAGGGCAAACAGGTCTTAGTGGGCTGCGAATTGGTGATACAAGATGCGGTAAAGAGTCATTCCCTCTGTTCCATGCAGGTCTGGGGGAGTCAGCTCTCTGGTCCAGATTAGATGAGCCAGGTTAGCCCGGCTCTCCTGTCCACCCACACTTACACTGCCCTCAGTGTCTCTACGCTCACAAACAAACTCAAACCCGCCTCCAATTCTGCTGGGTAATCCCAAATATCTTCCCTACAGTATCCTCTGCCTTGTGTCTTCACGGACAAACTCTCCCAGGGGCCTTCACATCACTACAGAGACAGGTAAAAGGGGGAAATAATCTGCAACAGCAGAGTGCATATGGGGGTGAGGCCCCCAGCCCTGCCTGGAAACCATTGGGAACACAAAGGGGAAAGCCAGTGCCAAATGCTGAGACTGGACATTTCCTCTGCTGCCGAGGGCATTGTGGTTCAAGGGTTGAGCACAGATGCCAGGGAGGCACTGATAGGAATTTCGATTTGGGGCTTGTCCACTTTTCTGGCGAGTTCTTGTCCTGAGGACTTTTTACCCTTTTTTTTTCTGGTTAGCTGTCCAGGTGCATTTTTAATGTGTTGATGCATCAAGGTAAGTGTATAGGGGAGATTTGGATTATTCTTTGGTCTGTTTTACTATTTTATTTTATTTTAGTTGTGCCTGGCTTTAATGTGGTTTTTGTTATTTTTCCCCTGACTTCATCTGCCCTTGGGTTTAGCTGGCACAAATGGCATGAATTGGTTCTTTGTGCTCTACCTCCCAGACCAGAGTGATGTAAGCTATGTAGTCTCTGGTGAGGGAGGAGACACATAAACCATTTGCTCTCAAGTGCCCTTGGTTGGGGAAGATAAGGTCTTGTGGTTAATAAGCTGGCTCCAAGTCACCCAAACAGTTAATTATCTCATCTCAGTTTCCATTTGTCCAGGAATTTTTCTAGATTCTTACTATCCTGCCTCACATGGACCACAGAAGTGTCTTGCTGGGGAAGCCTGCTGCTTCGCTAACAAGGTGCACACAGACGTGGACTGAAATAATGTGCATCACCGGTGGTGCTAACACTTGACACAGGCAGGATTTCTCATTTTCAGTTTCCTAAATTGAGTCTGTGAACTCTTCAGAATATATTACTGCCTGATTATGCCAATTCTGTAACTTCCTCAGGTTGTTAGCCTTGTGGGTATTGGTGGTGAGTGAGCTGGGAAGATGGTGGCGGTTACCATCACAGCATAACAAACCACCCCAAAGCCTAGTGGTTTAAACCAACAACAATCTTTACTTTCCTCATGAGTCTGCAATCTGGGCAGGATGCAGGGGGGTGGCCCATCTTTGCTCTTTGCTGCTTCATCTGAGGTGGCTCAGTTGGCAGCTGAAGAATCTGCTTCCATGTTGCCTCACTTGCACAGCTGGCAAGTTGGTTCTGCTGGCAGATGAAAGGCCAGCCAGGGGAGTGAGCCAGTGACTTCAGGTCCTCTTCATGTGGCCTCTCGATGGGCAATCTGGGCTTCCTCCCCACATGGTGGCCAAGTGCCAAGCCCAAAAACCCTAGGGAGCAAAGAGGCATTTTCCCTATCTCACTTTTGAAGTCACAATCACACACTAGTTGTCAAAGCAGTCAAAAGTCCATTAAATATCAAGGTAGAGGACAAATCCTATAATTCTACAGAAGAAAAAACAAACTGATTATATGAAAAAATGGATGAGATAGAATATATTGTTTTAGTCATCTTTGGAAAATATAATTAACCACATTAACAAATCATAGTAAATTAAGAAACAAAAATAAATTATATTATTTCCAAAACATACCCCATATGCTTGAAAGTACATCCCAAACTATTTTTACAACATCTTGAAATATATTCTTTTCAGCTTCTTCCCTAATATTTTTGAGTTTTGTCGTAAAGGTCTCTGATAGCATTGATATTTCCTTCTCCATGACTTGCTGTGATATTTTTCCCTGAGCATATTTCTCTTTAACTGATTTAGTTTCTTCTTCTAATTCACTTTCATAGATTATCTTCAAGGCCTCTGTCTCATGTTGCATCTTCTCCATTACATTCTCATAGATGGGAGGAGAAAAGTGAGACTGTCCATTCTCCCACACCATTTTATCTATCAGACACACCAGCTCCTTCAGTTGAGCTTCCTTCTCAGCTTTCTCTATACTTTCTTTGTTATTGAAGGCACAGCGGCGGTTCCCACACTCCTGGATGATGCTTTGCAGGTTTCCTGACCCCTTCAAAAAGTCATTCAGTGTCTGATCACCCAATTCATCTTTGCGAGTGAACAAGACGATCATGTGTTTCATGGCTGACTCCCCAAAGATGGCCTTGATCAATGTAACCGTATTCTGCTCCTCCTTTGTGTAGCGGCCCAGCTGTAGAACCAGGATGATGGCGTGGGGTCCAGGGTAAGACTGGAGGACACACTTGCCGATTTCCTCACAGGTGTACATCAGTTTGTCCTTAGTATCAAAGAGCCCTGGAGTGTCCACGACAAGAAGGTTCCTCCCCTCCCATTGTCGCTCTCCTTTCTGACAGTACTTGGTAACAGCATGGGCAGAAATTTTAGAATCAAATTCCTTTCTCCCAAGGATGGTGTTTGCTGTTGCACTTTTTCCACTTCCGGTTTTCCCCACCAGAACAATCCTCAGAGTGTTGTCCTGAAGGCCAGACATCTTCTTTCAAGAGGCTCTGGGGAGCAGGTATCAAAAAGACCTTAAGGAAGGGAATGAGAAAGGGAAAGGGTACTTAGGTAATTGGGGACCATTCCCAAACCTCTTTTCTTCATTCTTTCCCTCCCTGAAAATTTATAATCATCTATTCCTCATCTGGAGGAAATAATAAAGCAGAGTTTTCTCATAAAAGAGTACAAGGACCAGGTGCTTTCATAGGAGAACTCACTTAAACCTCTATAAAGCTGATCATCTCAATGATATTTGAGCTATTCCTGGTCATACAAAAAAGAGGGAAATATTTCAACTCTTTCTCTGAATCAAGTGTGATATTGATCCTAAAGGCTAACAGAGATTTGACCAATAAATAAAGCTACAGATGTGTCTCATTTGGAAATATTCATACCAAAATTTGTTGTGTCAACACATCTTTGAATAGACCAGAGGCCCAGTGCACGAAATTTGTGCATGGGGGTGGGGAGAGTCCCTCAGCCTGGGATTGGGCCTAAACCGGCAGTCAGACATGACTCTTGCAATCCAGGACTGCTGGCTCCTAACCATTTGCCTTTCTGCCTGCCTGATTACCACTAACTACTCTGCCTGCCTGCCTGATTGCCCCTAACTGCTCCCCTGCTGGCCTGATAACCCCTAATGGCCTCTGCCTTGGCCCCCACCATAGTGGCTTTGTCAGGAAGGAAGTCAGAGATCCGGAAGATGTCTGGTTGATTCGGTCTAATTAGCATATTACACTTTTATTAGTATACATGAAGTAGAAAATTACCTAGTACAGTCAAGACTTTTGACCAAATTCAAAACTGATCCATGTTTAAAGCATTTTATACAATGCAATTAATAGATAATTATCTAACTTAATCTTATATAAATATAATTTTAAATTTTTATCATCACTTTTTCTCTGTAGCTGAGAAAGAGTAGATTATAATGTTAAAATAATGGATTATAAAGTTTTGGGATGAAGAAAAAGTTGATACTTCTCTAACATTATTTTATATAACTGTAAATTTAAATTTTTGTCATCACTATTTTTTTCATGCAGGTGAAAAAATAGTGTATTATAAAGTTAAATGGTGGATTATAAAGTTCATTTCAATAAAGAAAAAAAAGAAAGTTATTCAGCTTCATTGAGAAAAAGAACAAGGAGGAAGGACTAGCTCTACAATGAGTCAAGCATTGTAATTTCTATGATTACAGAAGTGTGATATTGTTGTACCAATAGAGATAACAGTGAACCAAAAACAGAAAATTCAGAAACAGATCAAATTAATCATACCTTATTCATTTATATTCAATTCAATAACACTATGTTACATTTAGATTCAATAAGACAGCATACCACATCAAAGGAACTAAAGATGTTATGATAAAGTAACTTTGGGATAACTGTATAACCATACAGAGAAAAAGATAAAATTGCATTCATTGCCTCATGCCATTCAAATTGCAAGCAGATTAGAAGTTTAAATGTTAAAAACAAACAAACAAACAAACAAACACCCAAACAAACATATAAATAAAATAAAAAAACATGGGTAACTTATTTGTAACCTGAAGGTAAGGAAAATATTTCTAAGATTTGAAATAGAGTAAAGAGAAGGATGAATAAGTTTGATTACATTAAAATATCACAGATAATGTGGGACAAAAGACACATTTGAAAAATTGAAGCAAAAATGCCAAATTAGGGACAGTAATATTTTTAAGCTTAAAGCAAAGGCGTAAATGTTCCTGTTATACAAAGAAAATTAAAAAGTACAGAAACCAAATACCAGCAACTTAATAGTAAATGGAGCAAGATATGGCAATAAACATTCAGAGAAAAATGAATTTAAATATACCTTGAATATATCAAAAGACATTAACATACACTCAGAGAAAAATAAATCAAAACACAAAAAATAAAATCATGAAAAATATTAATTAAATCACACCTCTATTTCTGAAATGAGATACTATTTGACACCTCCAGGTTTGGCAAAAGTCCAAATGTTTGCTAGCATAATCTGTTGGTAAAGGTATGAGGGAAGCAGGTCCTCTCCTCCATGGCTGATGAGAATGGAAAACCATTCCACACCATACAGAAGGGAAGTCAGCACTGTCCTGTGAAAGTACATATGCATTTTCTCATTCATTGTCAATCCTCCATTTTAATATTTATCCCTTAAGTACACTGACAACAATGCAGAAAAATGACACATAATGCTATTTATTGCACCATTATTTGTACTAGCAAAAGAACAAAAGCCTTTCAAAAGGTCATCAGTAGGGACTGGGTTGATTACCTAAGATATTATTCACACACTGAAGGACAGTCCAACTGTGAAAAGGAATGTGTCTCTCTATACAAGCATGGAGAGGTCTCCAGGATACATCATTAAGTGGAAAAAAAAAGTGAAGAAAATAATGTAGATTTGAAAATAATGTATCTTACCTAATAATAGACAAACATGGTAATTGACCATACCTTTGCTATGCCTCCCATTGGCTTATCAGCGAGATATGCAAATTAACTGCCGACAAAGATGGCGGCCGGCAGCCACTGAGCTGGAGCGAACAGGAGGCTTGGTTGCTCCAGTGATGGAGAAAGCCAAGGTTCTCTGCCTGCCATGGCCTGCGCAAAGCTACACTCAAAGCAACAAAGTTTCAATTATAGAAGGTAAATAAACCCCAGATACCTGGTTTTAGCAGGCCATGGACATGGAGCTGGAACGAGTAGGAGGCTTGCTTGCTCCAGTGATGAAGGAAGCCAGCCTGCCACTGGCTCTGAGCTCCACTCAAAAAGCAACAAAGTTTAAATTATAGAAGGTAAATAAACCCCAGATACCTGTTTCCAGTCGCCATTGCCATGGAGCTGGAACAAATAAAAAAAAAAGGAAAGGCTGGGAGCTTCAGTAGCCGGGGGCTTGGTCAGTCTGAAAACAGCCATCAGCCCCTCACCCAGGATGGCCAGGCACCCAGTGGGGACCTCCACTCTGAAGGGGGTTTGAGAAGCCTGCAAACAGCCATCAGCCCCTCATCCCGTCTGGCCAGACACCCCAGCAGGACCCCCACCCTGATCCAGGACACCCTTCAGGGCAAACCAGTCAGCCCCCACCCGTGCATCAGGCCTCTATTCTATATAATAAAAGGGTAATATGTAAATTGACCCTAACAGCAGAACAACTGGGAATGACTGGTCACTATGACACACACTGACCACCAGGGGGCAGACACTCAATGCAGGAGCTCCCCCCTGGTGGTCAGTGCGCTCCCACAGGGAGAGCTCTGCTCAGCCACAAGCCAGGCTGATGGCTGCCTGTACAGTGGTGGTGGGAGCCTCTCCTGCCTCCTCAGCAGCACTAAGGATGTCCAACTGCAGCTTAGGCCTGCTCCCTGCTGGCAAGTGGACATCCACCAAGGGCTGCCGGGCTGCCAGAAGCATGTCTGACTGCCAGCTTGGGCCCGATCCCCCAGGGAGCGGGCCTAAGCCAGCAGGTGGACATCCTCCGAGGGGTCCCAGATGGCAAGAGGCCATAGGCAGGGCTGAGGGACGTCCCCGAGTGCACAAATGTTTGTGCACCGGGCCTCTAGTTTTTATAATAAGGAAGAATATGAACTACATACATAGTAGGTGTAGCGGTTAACAATGCAGATTTTTTTTCAATAGATGGAGTTACACATATGTTGATACATATGCGATTTTATATGTATGCTATTTTGTTGTATGACAACAAGTTTCAAATCTTCATATGTCAAATTTTCTGAAGGTGTTAACATTATAGATATTTTTACGCTTAAAAATGTCAAATTTTGTGCCAAGAAAAGAGCATTTGCGGGAAGTTTTAATTCATTACTTTATTTTGAAGTAAAAGTTATCATATACTTTGGGAAGCTTAGGGGGAACATGCTCCATCTCAAGATACTTGTGAATGCTGGTTTAAATGCTTTAAAAATGATTATTTTGATGTGGAAGACAAAGAACATCCAGGTCAACCGAAAAAGTTTGAAGACCACCAATTACAAGCATTATTGGATGAAGATGCATGTCAAACTCAAAAACAACTTACAGAAAGATTAAACGTTGCTCAGCAAACAATTTCCGATCATTTACAAGCAATGGGAAAGATTTTAAAGGAAGGAAAATGGGTGCCACATCAACTGAAAGAAAGACAAATGGAAAACCGAAAAGTCATCAGTAAAATGTTGTTTCAATGGCACAAAAGAAAGACTTTTTGCATCGAATTGTGACTGGTGATGAAAAGTGGATTTACTTTGAGAATCCCAAACGCACAAAATCATGGGTTGATCCAGGTCAACCATCAACATTGACTGCAAGGCCAAATCACTTCGGAAAGAAGACAGTGCACGACGTTTGGTGGGATCAGGAAGGTGTGGTGTATTATGAGCTTCTAAAGCCAGGTGAAACTGTTAATAAATAATCAATTGAACCACACTTTGATGGTGAAATGACCAGAATGTTTCAGAAGACACAGCAAAGTAATTTTGCTTCATGATGACACACCATCACACACTTCAAAACCAGTTAAAGACACATTAAAAGATCTTGCCTGGGAAGTATTAACCCACCTGCTGTATTCACCAGACCTTGCTTCTTCAGATTACCACTTGATCTGATCGATGGCACATGCACTTTCTGAGCAGCACTTCAAAACGAACGAGGAAGTGGAAAATTGGGTCTCTCAATTGTTTGCCTTAAAATAAGAAAAGTTCTATTAAGGCAGTATCCACAAATTACCTGAAAGATGGGGAAATGTGTAGCTAGAGATGGACATTACTTTGAATAAAGCACGTTAGGTGTTTCTCTTGAAATTATCATATTTTCTGTGATTACAAAATCTTCATTTTTAACTGGTACACCTAGTAAAATATAAGACATATATCTTTCATATATATGAAAAGGCAATAGCATGATACTCTGAAAAATAAACCAACAATAATTTACTTACATGTGGATGGGAGAAGCAGGGTGGAGGGAACAAGAACAG